AGTGCATTACGAATACCTTTCATTATTGCAATATCTGGAATTGTATAATTTTCTTTCCAATCGCCAATTTCCAAGCTATATAATCCATCAGAGTTGTTGATAATAAGTTTACAGATTAATGACATTACAGAAGCGACTTGGTTCAATTCTTCAGGTTCTAATGGACCATCAGCGGTAAGCCAACTAAAAATTAAATCTTCAAGTAATCCAAGATCAAGATTCTTTAAATATCTTGGATAATTGAATAAAGGTTCAGGAGCGTCAGGAAGATCAACACCATCATCTAATAAAATATCTCTATCAGATTCATTAAGACAAGCTATGTAGGTCTCGATCAATTTACCGTTTGTTCCTTCCCAAAGTTTTCTCCAAAGTATTGGAATTACGACATGACTCCATGAACGTTCCACTAAAAGACATGAAAATAAAGATTTTCGGTCTTTTTCTAAGTATTTAAAAATTTCTTCAAGGCATTCAGTTGGTATTTGCGGCATTGAAAATAAATTTCACATTTCTAGATCATTTATGTTGTGACACTACATTTATATAACAATATGTTGCGTTACTATTGTAATCACATGTCTATGCGTCATATGTTTAACAATGTAAATTTGAGTTACAACAATTGGTCATTACTACGTTTTTTTTACGTCATATATTAAAACTGGTTGATTACTGTATACAGAAATAATAACAATAATATGTAATAGGTAATTATCTTGTCAATCTATTTAATTCGAGGAGTATAGCGTCAACCACAACCATAATATATTTCTAATAACACTTTTCATGAAAGAAATTTAAAGTGAATACGGATGATCACAATAAAAGCATACGCTTTTTTTAATACTCGTTACATATTTTCATGATTGCTTCAACTATCGTAATCATTGGTAGAGCTTGATGTATTGATACAAGCTTTTATTCTTGGTCCAGCTGTAAATTCTGTAAATCATCACTTAGAACCTATTTTTATATTCAATGCTTTACAAAAATAGGAATGCTCCTTTATCAGGTATTACTTAAGGAAAGTATAGTAGGAAACACAAGGATAGTTGCGAAAATAAAAATTATATAATATACGTATATGTATGATAATAAAATCTTAACTATATAATTGTTTATCGTTATATTATTATTAAAGCAATTAAATAGAATTTTTTTTTCAAATAACGAAGCAAAATACGTATTAAAGCGATTATGCAAAAAATGAACTAGCAAAGCAAATGCCAATTAAATAAGCATATCAATATATGACTAATGTTCCGAACCATATACATGCTCTTTAATTAAATTAAAAGTATAATTTCCTTTTTAAAATTTTTTATTATTTATATTAATCTTCGCTTTTTGGAAAAGATTTTATTACTTGTTTATTGACATTGTCGTTTTTACCTTCAATTGCCCAAGTTTCTATAAATATTAATATAAACTAGGCAATCGTTAATGCATATTTAAAATCCTCGTACCGAAGGCACGGGGATTTTATAAAGATTTCATAAAATTTTAAAACCTGAAAATTTACATGTTTTTAAATAATAAATTTGGTTAATAAATAGTACTTCATCTTGATATCTTTGGACACTAAGAATTATAAACCTGGATCAGAAGGTGGAAAAGCAATAACAAAGACACTTTACAAGAACACAACACTAACATTTCTAAATCTTGAAAGGAATGAATTTGGATCTAAAGGGGTAAAGGCGTTAGCAAAAGTATTTCGTGAGTACCACTCTGACTTTTTGGACCTTAAGAGAATAAATTTGGATTGGAAGGAGAAAAAATATTGACAGACATACCAACTTCATTGAATTTTCTTACTTATAATTTTAGTTTAAACCCAGAAAAATTATTAGAAAAAGCCATTAAATCGCGCAGGTTAATTCTTTCATTTTTAGTTATATAAGATCTTAATAAGATCATTGTTTTGACGTTGTAATAAATATTTGAATCAAAAATACGAATGTACTTAAGAACTAAAAACTTTATTCAAATAGTTATAGTTTACTATTTTAAATTTTAGCACACAATTTATACCTTAAGAAATATAAATATCAATCTTACTTAAGATCGTTATCTAGTGGAAGTCCGTTAGTTGTTAAACCGTTCTCTTGATTTTCTTTGATGTGTAATAATCCTACACTAAAAGTTTGACGTCATATGACGCCTCGGACATAAAGTGCATTATTCACCTTTACATATTGATAAAACCGTAAAATATAATTTTTAAAACCAATAAAGTGAATTCTTTTTAAATTTATTATGAACCATTGAAAAAAGGTATTATAACAAATTTACATTTAAGTTATGAACAATCTTGAGTCTTATTAATTTTGGGTTGAATTAGACATGCGTTAAAAAGAGAAACAGTACAATGTATGAATTTAGGAGGGTTCATTGTACCATGTCAGTTTTCACTTCTAGTCTAAGATGATTCTTTGGAATTCACAACCTATATTGCTGACAATGATAATTTGCAATACTCAGTTTATAGACAGTTGATAGTCATCGGTCTAATCGTATCAAATATTTTATGTCAATGCAAAAACTTTTATCTAATATATATATATATGTATATAGGGTCATTTGATACACCCATATGTAAATCATGTTTTTTTTTTTAATTTTGATCGAAAGTAATTCGACGCCCACACAACCAAATTCGATGAAATTTTTTTTTATTTGAATTCTCCGGAACTGTAGAATTCAAATAAAAAAAATTTCATCGAATTTGTTTGTGTGGGTGTCGAGATACCTTCGATCAAAGTCAAGAAAACGTTGCCGCAGCTAATAACGATTAAAAATTTTCTTA